TTTAGTGCTATCCCTTTCCTTTGGTCATTCAAAGACGGATTAAGAATAATCGATTCATAGGTTTTTAGATTACCTCTTAGGCCATCGATGGTGACATTTGATGTGCCGATTGATTCATAGATGGCATCGGCCTTGGATCGCCATTCGGATTTCAAGCTCCGTAGGATCTTTCGCACAAGATCCCTGTCGGTGTACGTCTTCTTTAATGCATGAAGATCGTTGACTATCTTGGAGAAACGGTCGAACATATCGTCAATCTTCTCGTGCTCCTTCATCCTGAACATCTCGTACTCCTGCGTTAGGAAGTCAATTTTGGCTTCCCGAACTTGGTCCGTACCTTCATATGTGACTTCCAGCTTGTCCCACATTTCTTTTGCCGTGGTGCAGCAAGAGATCTTGCGATAATCATCAGGATTGACCGCACAGTACAACATGTTGATTGCCTTAGCGTAGCTCTCCACTTTTTTGATGTCTTCGGCATCAAATTCGTCTTCGGTCTTTGGGACGAGTTTTTCATCGACCTTCTTCATTGGCGTTTCTTCGCCGTTTTTGATGACCAACCACAACTGGAAGTTGGTTGAGCGGATATAAATTCTCATCCGCTCTTTCCAATATGTGTAGTTGGTGCCATCAAAAAGCGGTGGCCTAGAGGTTGATTGACCTTCTCCAATTCCTGCATAAAGATTTCTAGAAGAAGAACCCATGATCGCTTTACTCTCAAACAGTTAAGTTTAGACGCGAGTTAGGCTCTAATACCAATTGTTAGAATAAGTGACCAACGCTAGAGGGGGTGAATAGCGTTTGATCGTAGAAATCGTAGGAATAAAAAAAATTAAGAACGTGAAAGATAAAGATCGTAGAAAGAGTAAAGGGAGCACACCAAGATTTACCCTGGTTCACCACAACTTGTGGCTAATCCAGCCTCCCAATAGACTCTCTCGAGCTACACTACTTCCGTTAAGCTTACGGGTGCTTAACAAACCGTTACAACCTGAGAACTCGAGCCCCACGAGCCTCAACAACACTTGCTCGGAGATACCGCACTCCAAGACTTCAACCCAAAGGAAAATACCTTTCCTTTGTACAACCAAGGGAAACAAGCTTCTTTTAACGTGTATACAACACTAAGACACTCAAGAACAAGGCTCTCTTTTAGAATAGATGTTGAGTAAACTATATACGCTCAAGAACAACTCAAACTTCACAAATTGGCTCTAGAAATCTATGAAAAATGATGTTGTTTTAATGCAATGATGATATGAATATTGTGAAGTGAATTGATGAGAAAAGAAGACCCAAACACCCCTTTTTATAGTGCCAAAATAGGCTCCAACGGACCAATGCATTAAAGGGGTGATTGGCTTGATTTAAGGGATTGAATAAATTTTGGATCTGCAGGATATTGGCTTCCCATCGATGTTTGGAACTTACCCATCGCTGGTAAGCCAATTTTCCTTCAGTTTTGAAGCCAACGGTTACCTACCCATCGATGGGTACAAGCTTCCATCGCTGGGTGGGAGGTTGACTTCCAAACAAGGAAAGAATCAACCTTAAATGACTTCCAACGGTCATGCCTTCCCATTGATGGTTTAGCCTTCCCATCGCTGGGTTCCCATCGATGGGTAAAGCTTCCCATCGCTGGGTAAGGGCATTCTGCCTTGTGATAATGTTGGACCAAGGCTTTAACAGCGATGGGTAGAACCTCCCATCGCTGTTTGGCATGGTTCTGGAAGTTGGTGTGGCTAAGGGGTCACTTACCCATCCATGGGATGTTCTTCCCATCGCTGGGTGGGTGGTTAGCCAAAAACCTATGGTTTTTGCCTTAACCACGGCCTAGCCAACCGATGCAAAAACCGACCGAAAAATCCAAAGTTCTCCAGAATAAAAACCAAGTGTTTAAAACATTTATTTGATGTATTTGGCTAAGAAATCAAGTGAGACACTTTAAAAATCACGTCATTTGAGTAAAAACCGAGAGATGGTTTTTCAAAGTGTTTTTGTTGGAGAACCGTTTAAACATGCCAAAGAGTGAAAGCATATCATAAAATGCTGAAAACCACTTGGTTGGTTCGGATGCCATAAACCAAACCCAAAAACCGAAAGCCGAACGCTGGTTTCTGAAAGCCGAACACTGGATGGCTTGGTTTTTGGTTTGGGCAAACACCAAGTGTTTTTAATGACTTAAAAAAGTTTGAAAAGAATTTTTATGATGTAAGAAATGCAATGAGAGATTTTAGCCTAAAGAGCCAAGGTGTAAAGATTGGGTCGGTCTTGATCACAATAAAGACCGACTCAATACTATGACTAAGGTCTTCGTTCTTGGTCTTCGTTTAGCTCTTGCTCTTATCTTCGTTCTTCGCCTTGTATATTCAATGTTCGACTTGATCATGGCGGTTTGGCATTATCAAAACCTGTTACAAAAACGAACACGGCTTTAGTACGAAAACGTGACAAGCCCGTGTTTCAACAGCTTACTCAGCTTTACCGCTGAGCGTGTAGTATGTTTTATTTGCTACACGCAGGTTAATAGAAAGAATGATGTGATGTGATCCTGGAGGCGGACGGAGGCGAGACTGTCAGAATGGATGTGATGTTTTGACTTAAAGAACATAAATAAATTATGTTTGTAATTATGATTTGTTAAGCTTCCGCAATATTGAAAACTCTGTACTGTTTATGATATGAAAATATTATTGTGATAAATAAAAGTGTTTGAAATGTTTTAAATTTTACAATTACCAAGTTAAATACTTTAGTCCGAATGGGGCTGCAGACCTGGACGGATTAGGGTGTTACATACAAGCTGCCAAAGCAAGGAATAACTGGATGCTAAGAAATGAAGTTCAAAATAAAGGGGAGAAAAGTCTTGTTCACAAAGCCAGAATTTGAACTTATCGCAGGACTGGGAAGCGGAGGGAATAGGATAACTTTACAAAAAAGTGAAACTGTGTTTCATTCTGTACTAGAATTCTGTGTTTGGGTACATGTGCCTTTGTTGTGTTTTGAAGTAATGTGAAAGTGAAACTGTTGAAATTGTGTTGTGTTAAACGTGTTGTTTAAATCAATTCGAGTGAAATAATTTCCTCTTTACGCAGTCATCTATGGAAGTATAAAGTGCATTTATTTAAATTGTGTCAAAAAATCGGAAGGCAGTGTGGTAGTATTCAACAATCAATACAATGTGTTAAGAAAGACAAATAGAGAATAAAACAGAAATTTGAAATTACAAGAGTACTGTGAAAAAAGATGACACTCTGTGGTGTTAAATGCATTGTTTAAATTTATTCCAGGGAAATAAATTCCATTTTATGGAGTCATGTATGGACGTATAAAGTGTAACTCTTGAAATTGTGTAAAAATGTAACAAGTATTTGGCTATTAAATATAAAGCGTGGAGTTCAAGGACCATATTGTTCAAAAAAAAGAACATAAAACAATAAAGCATCCATATTCGTAATAAGAACATCTCGAATTGAAATACATATAGTTGGAAAGAGATAAAGTAAATGATACTAAACAACTCTTAAGTAAGAGCTGCATCTGCCATTGGAATTGGATTGGTGCAAGATTTCATGTTGTGGCCATGAGACTTGCACCTCGAACATCTTTGCTTCACTCTACGTTTGCCATAACGGAACTCCCCTATAGAAGGATACCTTTAATTCTTAGGTCTTCCAGGAGGGCACTTGTTGCAGGATGGAGGATCACATTTCCTTGATAGAATCTCTTGAGGAATCACCCATCCAGACACATCACTAACAGGATGAACAATTCCAGCATATGTGCACACCAATGCTTCCAATTCGTAAAAGGTGGAAATAAATTTGTAGCAGGATAACCCAAGGGGTTTACCAATCGTTTCAACAGCATGCACACATACAAATTTATCAAGTTGGAACTCGCAGCACGTGCAAGTCTTTTCCTTTAGGTTGACAATGAATGATCGAGAATCATTATCAGTAACCTCAAACTCATATGAACAGGAGGCATTGACCTACACACCACAGATAATAGTGAGTTGATAATAAGTAATGTAGTGCCCAATAAAACTACTTTATATTCTCAACTGCATTCAAAAAACGATGAAAAATAAAGGCATGAAGCAGTAAATATTCTACTCTTAAAATAACAGACCTTCATCCGAAATGCATCACGTTGCAATTGAATCAGTTCATTCTCGCGCTTCATTGGAAGAAGAGTACGTGTGGAACTAGCAATCTCAGCCCTTTCATGGAACCATCGTTGCACCCTACCACAAAGAAATTCAACCAATTTTGCTACAGAATAATCCCGTGCATTTTTATTGACATTGTTCATTGACTCAGCCAAATCTGAAGTCATGGAGGAGTAACGTGATGTTGGACTCTTACATCGAGACCGCTTTGCAACTCCAATCTTATCAAGGTATACCCGTATATGTGGATCATCCTCATCCAACATTAAAAGATACTCCTCACACTCTTCAACAGTAGCAGCCCGAGAAGCAGCTCTGAACTTCCACTCAATTGATTTTGATTTGCCCTTAAATTTCCCTTTCAGATTGCGCAATATATGTTCAGTAAAATAGCAATGAGGAATGGAAGGAAACACCTTATCTACTGCAAACAAGATACCATCATGACGGTCTGAGATGATGCACATGTCACTGCGTTCAATTAGTGAATGTTTCACATTACTTAAGAACCACAACCAAGAATCATTGTTCTTAGCGTCACATATGCTAAATGCTAAAGGGACAATCTGTCGATTAACATCTTGTGTGCGTGCAGTTAGCAGTGTTCCACGAAAGTAAGCCTTCATGAAAGTCCCATCTATAATAAGGATTGGAAAGCAATGAATCCATGCTTGCCTCCACGCACGAAGCGATAAGAACATATTCTTAAATTTGCCATCTTCGCATGTTGTGAGAGATATAACAGACCCCGGGTTATTTTTCTCAAGCATATAGAACATCGCAGGCAACAAGTGGTACGATTCATCATCTGAACCATAGAGTTTGCTCATCGCTTTTCTTTTAACTACCAAAGCCTTCTTATAAGACATAGTTATCCCATATTCCCTCCTCATGTCGTCCATAAGGTCAATAGGTTGGTACAACTTTGTCGAAGCATCTGCATAACGATGTGCAACCAAGCCTGCTAGAAGGGTAGATGTTGCATGTCTATGATTGCCTTCACGAAAGTCAACAGGGCAGGAATGTTCTGAGTCAAACCTAAGACACAAAAGGGCCCAAATGTCATATATATATGTGTGTGTGCGTGTGTATATACGTATTCAAGTGAAAGGGTCAAATAAAACTTCAAAATGCAAATATACCTTCTAATTTGGAATAAACTTGCACCATATACACGTACAGCACGAAGGGCCCATTTACAATTAACATCAACACACACGACATGATAGGATGTCTTCGTTGAAGTTACAGTTCTGAACTGGAAGTTATTAAAATTGGAAAACATTTGCAAATGATGCTGAAGGTCCATCTTTGACTTGTATATGCAATCCATGTGAATAGTTGTTGGATGGTAATGAGAAATAACAACATTAGGTGTGGATTCCACTGACGCAGAATCTGTGCTTTCAGCAATACAGACATCTTCACTTGATAAGGACAGAGGTTGTGTGAATTGGGTAAGAAGAAGACTCTGGGAAGTACCAATAGAAGGAACAGGAAAAGTGGAAGAAGATGCATCAATAATACTGCCAAACTCATTAAACCGTGACATTATGACACCCTGTGATTTGATATAACTTTCTCGACAGAATGGCACAGCTTCAAAACATGAGCTTGTATCGTTTGTGTCAAATTCAATGCACAATGAAAGCTTCGTAAAATCACACTCAATGCACTTTAATTGCATGTAAAATTGGAAGCTACTCTCATCATTTATATTCACAGGAGGAAGAATGGATCCAACAGCACGAAAATGTTCCTTGCAAATTACACGTTTCAGATGCAACATTAAATTACACGTTTCAGATGCAACATTAAATCTTGAAATGAGCTGTTATTTGGAATCGGGACTCCAATTGTGTACTTAGAAATAAAAATATTATTAGGAGACCAGTTTCCATCAACATTAACCATTATCCACATCTTGTGTGCCATCAAAGTAAAGGATACAGCTGCAGATGAATAAAAAACATAAGATAATTACAGTATATGTTTGGCAGTGAAGTACTGATTCCAAATATACTCAATTAACAAAACAGCTGATAGAATTTGGGATGGGTATGGACAACTGGATTGGGTAATAAGACACTTGGGCTGAACCACATTAAAAGATTGAATTCAATCGATTAGTTAGTTCAACTCAAGAGCTTATATACCGATTATTTTGCTCTTGAACTTCCGATGTGGGATGACACTCTAACACTCCCCCTCAAGTGGATGACCAGGCCATTTTGAATATAACCGGTTGACCACTTGCAAATAAACTCTCATTCCATTAAATATTTTTTTTGAGCGCCAACACCTAAAGGACCACGAGTCGCTGGGTATGGACTTCCAGACGAGCAATCGTGTTAAACGGGCCACAAGCCGTTGGGTACATACTCCATACGGAACACTGGGCTAAAGACAAACGGGCCGCTAGGAATGAACGTCTAGACGGACACCTTGACAAACGAGGTGGGCCAAAACAGGCTCCGATACCATGATAAAGTTTAGGATGGGTGTGGAAAACTGGATTGGGTAATAAGACACTTGGGCTGAACCACATTAAAAGATTGAATTCAATCGATTAGTTAGTTCAACTCAAGAGCTTATATACCGATTATTTTGCTCTTAAACTTCCGATGTGGGATGACGCTCTAACAACAGCAGAACACATTCAAAGATGTATGAGAATTATGCTTGTAAAATATAAAATGTAATGCAGAAACTAGAATCATAAATCGTAGAGAGTTATGAGAATTCATAAAATCGAAGGTTATGAGAAGAAACTGACCTATTGGAAAGTATGGCTATGGCGAATGAGAACTCCAAATTACGAACAATAAAATCGAAGATGAGGGGGAATTGAAAATCGAATTGAAATTGACACAATAAACTCGTAGACGAGGGGGAATTGAAAAGCGAAATAGAACGATTGAGAGTGTGTCGCAAGCAACGAAGCAGCAAAGAACAGTTGCCGCTGGGCAGCTGGTATGAAAGAGACGAAGGAAAAAGGCAGAGACGAATGATTGCTGAACCGAAGAAAAGAAAGAGACGGAGGATTACAAACCACCGTTAAAGAGGACGGTAATAACTCCTATTTTGGGTATATAATCAATGGACTCTTATATTAGGGTTAAGCTTAATGTTTTACTCCTATTTAGAGGGTTTTCTTAATGTGATTTTTTTTCTTCTTAAAAGGTGTTTTCTACTCTCTTTTTCGTAATCTATTTTAACGTTTTAATTTGATTGTTGCGTTAGAATCTTCTGAATTATCTTTAAATTGTTCGTTTTACTTACCATTCCTTTAGTGGCCACTTTTAGTAATTTTTCTATTTTGTTCTTCCTAATAGTTTTCTTTATGCATTTGAGTTTTTATACTCCGTCCTCTTTTTTTCTTTCTTTAGCACTATGTTTGGTTCAAGGCATTTGGAAGGAAAGGAAAAGAAAAGGCTTTTCCCTCACTGTCCTCACCAAAATAGAAGGAATTTAGTTTTTCTTCTTCTTAGCACATTTTCCTTCTCATTTTCTTTTCCTCTCAAACCAAAAAAGAAAATTTTTTTCCTTCTCATTTTCTTTTCTTTTCTCTTTCAATATCCTTGAACCAAACATAGTGTAAAGGTTTTTCGTTTTTTTAAAAGTTATATACTCCCTCCGTCCCGTAAAACATTTCCCCTTTCTTTTTTTATCCGTCCCACAAAACACTTCTCATTTCTATTAAAAAGTCACTTTTACCCCTTACTTTTTCATACCCTAACTATCACATCATACTTTTTTACTAATAATCTATCCATCAAATCATACTTTTACACATCACATCAAAGGACATTTTTGGAAATTCAATACCAAAATACACTCCCTTAAATCTCTCCTAAAAAGCAAATGTCTCATGTTTCACGGGACGGAGGGAGTACATTTTTTTGGTAGTTGTGTTTTTTTGTTTGTTCCTTTTAGAGTTCTTTTGTTGTTTTTTTCTTTTTATTAGTACGAGTATTATTATTGTTTAGTCAGTTCACAGTTGCCTTGTGTTTCATTTGTTACTCGTAATGTTTTTGTATTCTGTTTTTTTTTCTTTTGGGTTTGATCTCTTAGTTAGTCTTGTTTTTTTTTTGTGTTCATCATATATGCTATAAGTTTGAATGTTGTTGGTTTTTATTTTTAAGTATTTTTGTTGGCAACCAGCATTTTTTTGTTTCTATATTATTACTGTTTCTTTGTTTTGTTTTTGGTGATATTTTTAACATTTTTTCGTTTTTTATTTGAAACATTTTTATTAGGTTTTTGTTTATAGAATTCATCCTAAATAAGACCAAAACATAGAGAAAGGTACCAAAATAGGACTTTCATGTTTTTTTCCCGAAATAGGACTTTGCACTGTGGTAATGTGACTTTGCATTGTGGTAATGTGGCAGTGTACATGTGCAAATTACTATACCTTTTTGGTAATGTATATGACCATGTTTAGTAATGTAAGTCCTATTTTGGGAATAAAAACATGGAAATCCTATTTTGGTATATTTTCAATGTTTTAGTCCTAGTTTGGTCTTTCTCCCTTTTGCTTACGTGTGTTTATGATTAGTTTTCTTTTCCAAAGCTTTGACGGTATCATTTTTTCTTTTTCGTGATTTTTTTTAGTTTCATTATATGTATATATACTCCTTTCGTCCCAAAAAGATTTACACGTATCAAAAAAATTGCGTCCCACAATCCCTTACCCATTTCTATTAAAAAACCACTTTTATCCCTTACTTTTTCAAACCCTACATATCACATCATACCTTTTTCCTAATAATTTACACATCACATCATACTTTTACCCATCACATTAAGGGTATTTTTGGAAAGTCAACACAAAATATATTATTCCTCCCTTAATTTCTACTTTAGTCAAAATATATCCATCTTTATAGGACGGAGGGAGTATTATTTTTAAAAGTATTTTCAATTTATCTCTTTTTTTTCAATCAATTAATTATTTCTTTTTTTACTGCTTTTGTTTTTTTGGGTTTTACAAAGTTAGCAGTTGTTCCCTTATTTTTGTTTGTTTGTTGTGATTTTTTTAAACAGTGCTTCCCGCTAGTTTTATTGTATCAGTAAAAATATTTTACAGTTTATTTTATCTTCTTAAGGTCTATTATTATTTTGTTGTTAATACTTTTTAATGCTTTTGAGTTTTACTTTGTGTTCATTATTGCATAAATGTATCGTTCAGTTTTTTTTGTTATATCATGTTTTATTGATATCTATTTGTTTAAAAATTTTTTTGTGTTTTTCATTTTTTTTGGACACATAGCAAACTCATTTTCATAAAAAGTTAATCTTTCCCCGGCAACGGCGCCAAAATTTGTTAGGCGTGTCGTAGTACATACAAATTAATTTATTATTTTCCTTAACTCTTAACCCTCTTTATGAATTAATATTAATTAAAACATATAGATAGGGCAAGTAAGGGTTGATTCCACGAGAAAAGATACTTTTTAGGCTATGAAAATCAGTTCACTTGTCACTTTTATTGAATAAAAACTAACTAAAATCTAAAAACTAAAACTAAAGGATAGGGTGCTTTTTCAAAATGCCCTAAAAACAGAAGGAATTTATCACTCTACCCTAAAACGGATTGTATTTATTAGCCTACCCTTTCTATCAAAGTGAAATTATTCTCTTATCCTTCTCCCCTAAGCTGTTATCGCTACGTTATCGTTATCATACCGTTGCAACTTCCAGCAGCGGAGCAACGTTTCTACCCTAGCTAAGAAATTCGTTTTTTGATGAAATTTTACTTATCTTTACGAAATGGGTGATATGTCGGAAGAAATCGTCGATGTGAGTCAAACCAGGATTGTTTGCCACCATTAGGCAATCTAAAAGACTCTAGCTGATCCATGCAAACAGGACATGTTTTTTTTCCAGATGTGTTCCCACCAGACACCATTGCATACGCAGGAAGATCACCAATTGTCCACATCAAAGATGCGCGCATTCTAAAATTTTGTTTTATTGACACATCAAATGTATCCACACCTTTGCACCAGAGCGCTTTTATTTGTGCAATCAGTGGCTGCAAGTACACATTAATCTTTTGCTTCGGATTTGACCTACCCGGAACAATTAATGAGAGGAATATATGTTCTTCTTTCATACACATATTTGGAGGAAGATTGTATGGGGTGATCATTACTGGCCAGCAAGAGTATTGAGATCCTGATTGCCCAAATGGTTGAAACCCATCAGTGCACAAACCCAAACGAACATTGCGAACTTCTGAAGAAAAACAAGGATGTTTTTCGTCACATGCTTTCCATGCTTCAGAATCACAAGGGTGACACATTTCATCTGTGTTCGAGTGTTGATGTTCAGCATGCCAACGCATTAACCCAACAGTGCCCTCTGATGTATATAAACGTTTCAATCGTGGTGTTAAGGGAAAGTAAAACATCTGTCTATGCGGGACTTTAGCCTTCTCATCTTTATATCGCGGCTTCTTGCAAGCCTTACTATACACTCAGTGAGACTTTTATCATCTCCCCAAAATAACATGAAACCAAGAATGCAACAATGTATCTTCTGAACGGGAAGGCCCAACCCGTCTATTACCTTCTTTGTTTGGTAAAAGCTTTCAACCATTGTGTTTTCCCAGGAAGAGCATCTTTAAGTAACTGAAAAATTGTGTGTGTGTGTGTCTATATATATATATCCTTTAATATGATATTTGAGAGTTGATAGCCTAGAATTTTGACACGTGGTAAATTTAGACTCTTAATTTGATGACACATGGGAAGACACGCGTCCAACTATAGGAGAAGTTCCTTCCAGTACCCGTTTCGCCCAACATCTTCGCCCGGAAGGAAAGAAATCTGCGTTGGATCATGGAAGGAAAGAAATCCCAGTACTGCGATACGCCTTCTCAGTGTCCGATTGTTGGCCTGCGCGATGGACTGATTTTTTCATCGGCCAAATCTTCTTCGCCAAAACCCGTTGATTCTTCGCGATACATCTTCGCCGCCAAAGGAAAGGAAATCTGCTGATTCTTCCCGGATTCTTCACGTATTCTTCACGCGAATTTCTTTCCTTTCTGCAATTCGGCGAAGAAGGAAATTCTTTCCTTTCTGCAATTCGGCGAAGAAGGAAGGAAAGTTTGGAGACTTTCCTCACTTCCCTAAACCAGGTCACCCCATCTCTTATTATCCATCTCCAATACTCTTTCTTGATTTTCTTTAATTTCTTGATTTTCTTTAATATCTTGATTTTCTTTAGTTTCTTGATTTTGGTTTTCCATTCTTTAGGTTTTGTGTCAGTTATAGGGATGAACTGATGCAAATTCATGTTGTTAAAATTTGTTGCAGGGATAATGTTCCAAGACATCACAACTTTGCTGTTGAATCATAAGGCCTTCAAAGACACTGTTGACTTTCCATAGGTATGTTTCCAAAAATCATATGCATCAATTATTCAAGAATCGAGAGGAACTGCTAGCTCTTTAATCTCTGTTCTGGATATCCCAATTATTCCCGATCTTATTCCCAGATTTTTGGCTCGATTGTAATCCAAAAATTTTTATTAAATTCATATATTGATTCATTTGAATTCGGAATTTCTATTGATGCCAATATATTTTTTCACGCATTTCGAGTCTCAAGTCTCTATTTTGATCTCCAAATATTTTTTTCAATTCTAATGCTAACATTTTTTCTCGATTTTGATTTTTTCCATTATTCAATTTCAAGTCCCTTACAGAAATGTTGAGTAATCTGTAAAAATAGCCATTAGAGTTGTGCCTGAGAAGAGAAATAGTCTTGAAAAATATAATAGTTATATTCAGATAAAAAGTTATTAGTAATGATCTAACAAATACCAAGCTAATCCTTCTACACAAAATGTTGAATGGTAGATAAAATTCTGATCTATCCAACCAACAATAAGAGAAACTATATTCTGAAATATTTTGTAGGAATTAGGAAACTCCCCGGTAATACACATTCCGTTTGGGTTCCTACTTTTTTTTACCCCACATCTTTCACCGCACAATGTAGTGTATGACTGTTGTATTTCATTTTAATAAACGTTTTGATACCATAGAAATGTGATTCCGTGTCTAGCACAACTGAAGCAACCATTATTTGTGCAAAATGACAGTGGTGTTAGATTTTTAGTTTAATAGCACATACTTAACACATAGGCTTTTACTCTTTATTCCCTTTTTTCTTTTGTTCCCCTCATGTCACAACACTTGGAAAGTATTGCAGCAGTGATTGTTCTGATATCTTCTTCCCCAAATTTGACTATTTTGAAAAACTATGCCCAGGCTTACTCTTTGTGATAAGACTGTTAGTGAGTATATGAAGCAAAAAAAGAACAATTAATGGCTGGTCATTGTTGGTGTTTTCACTTCAAACTTGGTGAAGCATTACTCGAGTAAGGGTTTTTTAGTGTTTGGTTTTACGTGGATGGTCATAAAGTGTTACGTGAATATTTATGTGCGATCTAATAGATAATACGTACTATTTTGTTTTCAAGCACTACTTTAAGTGTTCCTGGACATTGTCATTGATGAAGTTGCTGAATTGAAGAACAAGTGCATGTATTAAATAATTTTGAGTTGGGTAAATTATATTTTATTCATCATGAGTTTGTTCCATAGGATGACATAGGTCTTATTTGATTTTAAATATATCTTTTCGTTTCTATTTTTTGTAGAAAAAATAAAATACTTTGCATTTCAGGCATTACGGCATGATATTGATGCTGATGAATATCACAGGTGAGGAGAAAATATTCAGACCCCCAAAACGAATAGAACTTGAAAATTTTCAATACAATGCATTTTTTGTTCTTCCAAGTTCCTCCCAAACGCTGAGTATGACCTTATATGTTCCAGGTCAGTGTTTTCTGTTGAAACATGGTAATAGCTTATATGAGTAAGTACTTCTTTGAGGATAATGTGTGTGTGTGGCGCTTTTTATCCTTCAATTGAGGCCAAGTCTATGCTGAATTTTGTTTCCAAGAACTATGTTATTGCTAATAGTCTGAACTCTGTTTTGCCTAATACTAATTACACATCTGTAGACGGTTCTACAATACTACACGTTTCTAGCCCTGTTGTATATTCTGATAAAGAAGTGACTATGACGATAATACTTCTTATGGTAAAAATATCAAGTGAAGGTATGGTTTCTAATGTTGTGACTCCTGTTTTGACCCCAGATCCTATACATGATGTTAAGGTGTGAGATGTTACTCTTTCAGATGTTAACGTTCCTGATGCTTGCTCCACACCTACACAATAACATAGATGTTGACGGTCCTATGAATCTTTCTACTAAAATCCAACATGTTCCAACTATTGTTAAACATGTACAAGTAATTGATGCTCAAATGTTAAGAGTTTGTGGGAATTAAATTTGCGCACAAATTTAATCCGGATGGCAAGAATCACAATGAGTGTGCCCCGGCACCATTAGACGAAATTAGTTTTTCAATTCTTGATATTGATCAAATGTTAAATGTGTGTTAAATTAAATATACTTGTGTGGTTTTTTACTTCATGTAATACAATACATTTCCCCTTCTGTCATCTACATTTTTATGAGTATTCAAGTCATCTTCAATCCAAAAAAAGCTAGGTTTTAGATTTTGTTTGTGTAATATGTTCCATGGATGTTGCTTTTGCTTTATGGTCACATATGGATTATTTTTAGGAGAATTGAATGCCTCTACTATAAGCACACATTGTGCAGAATGCTAAATGCACTTTTGAGGGCAGAATGCTAAATGCACTTTTGATCTTAGTACCACTATAGCCTTTTGCAATGGCCACGTGAATTGTAATACCTCCCATATAATTGGGCATGTCATATATTCCAGCATATAAAAAAACAAAAAAATATTCAAAAAAATTTCCAAAAACTTGGAAGTCTAACAGTATGAAATCACCCATTGGAATTGGTAAAAACACAAAAATAAGAAAAAACATACTCCGTAAATGCTACAAGTTTTATAAATGTCGTTGATAGTTGGATGTGTTTGATTTGAACCAAATTAAGTTTAAAATTTCTTAAATGATATGCGCTTTATTTATGGAAAATACATAGAATTTGGAAATTATTATAAAAACTATGAATGGATAAAATGTATAAAAATGTTTATTATTTATGTGCTAAAAGTTAATAGTACATATATTAGAAGGGAAAAAAATTATAAATGAAAAAAATAATGCATTTTTAAGTATATAACACATGTCTTATTTATATTAAAAGGAAAAATATATAAAAGGCATTAATGCACACGTTAAATTTTAGCATTTTTGAGTTATAGATTTTTTAATACCAAAATAGGATATCACACTGCCATTGTTGCAGTCACACTCACCACACTGTCACATTCTAACTGCTACACTATCACCGCCACACTGGCATCCGTTGCCGCCGGCCACTAGAGTGTTGCTGCAGATCGCCAACGGTTGACTAATCACACTGACATATTACAATGTCATCACTTTTCTATTACATTGCCAACGCGTATTCTTACACTATATTGTCATTATACTCCTATTTTGGTCTTAAAACACATAAAACTCTTATTTTTGTATTTTCAAACTTTTTTACTCCTATCAAGGAGATTTCTTTTATTTTTCACATACTTCTACGCTCTTAGAAAAATCACTAACAATTTGGATTCACCAAAAATAAAAACAACTGTTAAATTGATGTAAAAATTAAAGTGTCTGGGGTTGAAATTTATTTGAAAGAGAAGGATAAATGATATTTAAATACTTTTCTTCTTCAAATAGAAAACATAAAATTATGAAATTGATTTTTAAATATGTTTAAATAAATAAAAATGTATACTACGTATATTAAAAGACAAAAAAGTTATAAATGAAAAAATAATTGATAGAACTGCTGATGTTGAAATATCGCCCGAATTCTTGACAAAAATTATCCCCTCAAGAGTATAATGGACTTCATTTCTCTGAACCTATTAGAGAATATGCAAAAATATTATTTTTGGATATTGGCACCATGCTCGAGGCTGTAGAAAGATAATAAATGAATTTGTCTTATATCTCATCGCTGAAGATGAAAAGGAGTACTTATGTTCTGAATATTCATGTCGGACAGATTCATATATAGGTGTTGATGATGATTGATTAACATTTGAGTGTTTGAATTAAATGAAATGTTCCGGAATCCCAAACCAAAAATAAGTTTTAAAAAAGGGGTACGAATTATGTTATTGAGAAACATTGACCAAACATCTAGATTGTATAATAGTTAAAGAGATGCAAAAGAACTTTATCGATGCAATTGTGGTTTCGGGAAATCGAGTCAGGAAAATGTTTACATACCCCGAATGAATTTGGTACCATCTGATTCATGACTACCCTTAAAATTTCAGAGAAGACAAATCCCAATAATCTTATATTTTGATATGACTATTAACAAAATCCAAGGTCAAACATTATCTTTTATTGGATTATTTTGAACCAAGTCGATATTCACTCATGACCAACTTTATTCACTCATGACCAGTTGTATGTTGTCGTTTCACGAGTGAAGATAACGACATGATTAAAAATATTAATTCTAGATAACAAAAATCTCTTGCAATCATACCAAATATGTTGTATACCTTGAAGTCTTTCAAAAAGCTGGAATTAAAATTGACTTTGTCGAGTATACTTCCAATCCTCAAATATTATTTATTTTACTCTGTGTTGTTGTCTAATATATTAAAAATCGTGTGAGAAATATATTTATTTGATTACTGAATAAATATTGCATAGAAAAAAATTTAGAATCGACAAAAAAACAATTGACCCCGTGCGT